ATATTTAGTCTATGTACAATTTAGATATTTCCTGCACCTTGAATCAGAGGTGTCGGCTTCAGCAGAAGGAGCAGTAAATATTTATTAAGCACTGTGGGAAAGTACAAACACTCAAGATCTTCTGCCGGCACATGCCTGGAGACACATGGCCAGCTCCCAATGTCCTACTTTGTTCTGCCTCGAGCCCCAGATGTTGACCTAATTACTTCCTTGGCTTCTGTTCCCACCTTTTTTTTTTTTTGCCTGGGTCCCTCCACTTTACAGGAACACTGCAGAATAGGATTGCAAAATAACAGCTCTGGCTCTGAAAGGTACCACAGACTCTTTTTAGACCAGCCCCTACATTTTAATAGTTTAGAGAACTGAAAACCCAGAGTTTAAGTAGTCTGCTGAAAGGTGGCAAGCAACAGAAACATGATTTTAACCAAGGATGTCTGACTCCAAAGCCAGTGTAGCTAGGTGGTGCAGGTGAGAGACTATGAGACTTGGAGACAAGAAAACCTGAGTTTGAATCTTGGCTCAGGTACTTATTATCTGTGTGACCCTGGGCAAGTCACTTAACTACCCTCAGTCTCAGTTTTCTCATCTGAAAAATAAGGGTAATAATAGCAACTATTTCAGAGGGTTGTTGTGACATCAAAGAAGATAACATGTAAAATGCTTTGTAACATTCAAGTGCTATATAAAATCCAGCCATTCTAATAATTCCCACTGTACCATGTTGACTCCCCAGTTGCAAAATGTAGGCTTTCAACTTCATCTTCTCCGTGCCATTTACAAATTTTGCACACAATCCTTTTTGAGGTTTTTTTGAGCATATTTAGTGATAGCCACTTCAGGGAAATGTTAAAAATAACAAGCTCAGGAGAATTACTAAGTTACCAGACTTCTTCAAAAGCTTATTAATGATAGTCAATAGAGGACCTCAATGAAATGAAAATGGATCTAAGCCTGGCTTTTCTTGGATACTTTCCTATGTTCCACTAGACTTATTCTTCCCATTTTTATCTTTCTTTAATGTGAAATGTATATTAATCCTCAAATTCTCTCACTCACCCTCTCTTTCTTTTCTTCCTTCTCTGATCCCTGATGCAAGTAATATCAGTTCATCATATTCATCCACCTTCTATGGGGTCAATCCTTTCTCATTGGTAAACAGAAGTATTAATTATGGACACTCAATTTTATTGAGATTCCAGTATGCTTCTATAAGGAAAATATTTAACATCTCTGATGAAAACTAGGCTAGTGTCTAGATCACTAGGGTCCATGAACATTTTCAAAGGACTCAGGTTAAAAATGATATCCACCTGCAGATAGAGAACAGGTGAAATCAGAATGCAGGTGAAAACATATTTTTTTTCTTTTTCTTTGTTTCATTCTTTCATTTTTGTAAGAACATGCTTAATGTGGAAATGTGTTTTGCAAGACTCCATATTTGTAATGAGCCTTGACTTTCTTGCTTTCTTAATGGAGTGGGGAGGAAGTGGGGAAGAGAGAGTGAATCTGGATTTCAAAATAAAATAAACTGTATTTTTAAAATATTTTGATAATTATTTTAATATAGCTGGTTTCCTTTGCAATCCCATGTACTATAAACATATGAAAAGGGGTTCACAGGAGTCATTATACTAACAAAAAGTTCCATGACACACACACACACAAAACTGATGACAGCCTTCTCTAGATATTTTTGGTTCACAAAGATGATTTTAAAAAATAGATTATTAAAGTTGAGAGGGATTATTGTGTTCATTTGCTCAAACCCTCTCATTTTGCAGATGAAGTAGGAGGTTGGAAGGACCTGACCTAGAGATGGTAGCAGTTTGGAATGGGGAAAGGTAATGATGGGAGAGACAGAGAGAGAGACAAAGAAACAGAGATAGAAAGCAATGGATATGCAGAGAAACACACACACACACACACACACACACACACACATACATACATACATATACATATACACACGCATATATATGGAGAAAGAGAAATACCATATATACATAAGTACATGTCATATGTCAAATAACTTACACCACAAGAGAGTATTATTTATACATATGTACATAGCTATCATATGTGTCAAATAATTTTCACAAGACAACATTATACATGTAGTATTGTCTTGTATATACGTATATCAGTATATACTACATATATGTACTGTGTATATATACATACAATATATACTATACATATGGTATACGTATATTATATATACAAAAATATATACATTGTATATATATGATGTATGTTACATATACAAGATATTATATAATATATATATTTTCATACTAGATATACAAGATAATACTACATGTATTGCTTTGTAGCATAAGTTAGTTGACATATATGACATGTGTACATAAGTATATACATATATAACATTTCTACATACATCTATAATATACATGTGCACATATATGCGTGTATAAATTTGTGTGTATGCAGATATAGATATAGGGTGTGTGTGTGTGTGTGTGTGTGTTGTGTGTGTGTGTGTGTATCTATGTGTGTACTGGAAAATATGAGGAGGAAAAGATTAATAATCACTTTTACAGAGTAGCAGAACCTTAGAGAAAGGACAGATGTTTAAGAAGCAGAGAAGAAAGGGAATGGAAAGAGTATTAATACTTCCTGTTCATTAACAGCAAAATATTAGCCCCACCATCAAACTAGAAATTAGAAAAACTCCCCCTGTTCTGAACAGCCCTCAGAGAAGCTGCCCAGTAATTGAAGGCAGGAGAACCTGATTTCTGATTCCAACTCTGTCACTAACTAATCTTGTGATTTTTGAGTAAATCTTTTAATTTTTCTTCTCATCTGAAAAATGAAGGGATTAGGCTAAAGGATTCTCTAAGGTGCCTTCCAACTCTAAAAATATATAATTCTAGGAGAAAGAAAATCAAAAGTCATCACAGATTTAGAGCTAGAAGGGACTTTATATATTAGTGCAGTTCCTTCACTTGGTGTAAATAACTTGCCCAAGTCTTTCCTACATAAGTAGAAAACAGCAGAAGGAGGACTCAAACACTAGCATTCTGAGTTCAAATCTAGCCTAGAAATATAGACTCAGAGATAGAAAGAACTTCAGAGCTCTTTGTGGGAAGGTAGGTGCCACAGTGGATAGAGTAATCGCCTGTGAGTCATAATGATGAGTTCAAATCTGCCTCAGATACTCACTAACTCTGTGACCCTGGGCAAGTCATTTAATCACGTCTGCCTCAGTTTTCTCAGCTGTATGATAAGGATAATAATAGCACTTACCTGGAAGGGTTGTTGTGAAGATCAAATAAGATAATATTTTAAATTTCTTAGCACAGTGCTTTGCACCTTGTAGGTCCCTTAATAAATGTTTTTTCCTCCCCTTCCACTTAGAGTCACCCCATCATTTTACCAATGAGGAACCAAGACTGAGGAGTTAGAAAGAGTGATGGCTTTGAAATTCATCAATCTGTCATCCATGGCTTCAAATATTGGCTCTGTCATTTAAAGGTACTGACCCTGTAGAAGTCATTTAACCACTCTAGACTTTAATTTCTTCATCTGTAAAAATACAGTTTAGAATTAGGTGACCTTTAATACCCCTTCTAAACCTATGCTCCTGAAACTGACCCCAAATTACTTAAGTATTAAGCATCAGAAGTAGTTGTTGAAGCCAAGTCCCTTGACTCCACAGCTAGTGTTCTTTCCAACGTACCACACTCTAAACCACCATACAACATTTCCACTTAGCTAAAGAATAAAGGACATTTACCCATGTGCATGTTTATTATTACCCATTATGATGGGAACAAGTTTGGTAAAAATAGTAACATTTAAAAATAATTTACAAGGAAATAAAAGGCCTTTCAAGTTTTGTTTCTACTTAGATATCTACAGGGGGAAAAAGAGTCAAGTATATGTTTTATAAAAGCTGAAGTCAAATATGTTCATGATAAACAAATGACAGTGAAGTGAAAACTTCACAGAAAGAATGACCACCCAACCTGGGTTGTTGTATTCCTGTGTAAAATATGTGGGGCAATATTTGTGTGGCATCTGGTAAGTAGGTGGTCTGCTAATGGGAAAGGTTCCAGCTGACATAATGTTCACAAGTACATTTGGGAGAGTTAGGAAAATGAAATCCCACTCAGAAAAGCACAACTATGCCACATGCCTCATTCTATACTATTCAAGTCAATAAGCAATTATTCAGCACCTATTATATGCAAGTCAAAAAGTCATCTTTTTATGAAATAAAATATTTCATTGTATGTAGCTAGGAAGATAGGGTAAGACAGATAGATAAATGTCCTAGTAGAGTAGAAGATAGGTACTATCTTCTATACTATTCAATTCAATATGCAATTATTAAACAACTATCATATACAAGTCAAAAATCCTTCTTTTTATGAAATAAAGTATTTCAACATATGTAGCCAGAAAGATATTGGGGTATGTAGGTGTCATAGTGGATAAAGTACTGGGTCAGAAGTCAAGAAAATTCATCTTCATGAATTCAAATCTGCCTTCAGATACTTTTAGGCTGTGTGACCCTGGGCAAGTCACTTAACACTTTGTCTTTCAACTGTAAAATAATCTGGAGAAGGAAATGGCAAACCGCTCCAGTATCTTTGCCACTAAAACTCCAAAAGGGGTCATGAAGAGTTGGACATGACTGAAACGACTGAACGACAAAAGTCAGAAAGATAGGTCAGAACAGAAAGATAAATATTCTATCTGAAAATTGATGTATGTACATAGGGATGGCTAAACAGCTCACTTTCCCTCTCTTTCTTTTTTTTTTCCTTTTTAAATGGATGCACTGAACATAGCTTTGAACATGGGTGTGCATGTCTTATGTCAACAGAAAAGCATACCAGGATAATGTTGTCATTCATAAATATAACTTCAAAATCAAGGCCTATTATATTCTGGGTTTCTACAAACCATTAAGCAAAATAGTAAGTCATCAAAGCTGTTTCTATTGTCTTTGAATTTTAAACTTGATAACTTACTTGCATATGTCATCTTCTGGGTCTTCCAGCCCAAATCTTTCATCAAAAGTCAGTTGTATCCACATGTTTTCCTCTGCTGTTACTAATCTCCATACCAGAACTGTATTTCTTGGGTAGGTATGAGGGAACTTCGGGCTGTGAATACTTCCATTCGTTGTCACTGTAATAATCCTCTCATGCTGGGGATCTTGCACTCCTAAAGTAAATATATACACACAAAGACACATTCAGTAGACTAATCCAAAATTCTAGGGGATAGTATATGATTTAATTTTTGATGTTTGACTTGGGTTCAAATCATAGCCTTGCCACTCATTACCTGGCCAATTCACTTTTCCCTTCTCTAAGACTACATTTCCTCAGCTGTGATTGGAAGTGGTTGGGCTAGATGACCTCCAAAAATCCTTCCCAAATCTAAATCAATGATCATAGAATCTTCAAGCCCTTAATTGAAATTTAATTCTTCAGAAAATGTAGTAGGTCATGATTCATTGTCATACAATGTCACCAGAAGAATATTGCCAAAAATAGAAGACTCGATAGTTTAAAGGCTCTTTAACTATCTGAAGACGTTATTCATTTTTACATACCACAAACAGATTCTTCAACTGGTATAGTAAAATACAGTTATGACTCGAAGTCAGGCACTGTAAGTTAATTTTTTTGATCCAGACATGATTTCATCAGTACTGAATTTCCAGTGTTTTGTATCCCTCCGCGTGTTGGTAATTCATAGTCTTAGAGGGATAAGAATTTAAATGACTCACCCACAATCACACAGCTACCGTGACCGAGAGGGGACTTGAGCTTAGGTTTCCCTGCTTCCAAGCCTTGCTCTTTATCCCTACAATACCCTCCCTCTGGAAATTTCACTGAAATATACTTAAGAAATATTCATTGATTCTAATAAACTTTTATTTTAATTAGCTTTAATGATGGTTTAAAAAAACCCAAACTGATTAGAAATATACATATGTGTATATATTTAAATACAGACAAATAATAAAGAGAAACTTATTTCTAGGTAGACTGCAAAGTTATAATTTTTCAGTTCTGCTACGAAAGATGTAATATTTTATACATACTAAAATTGTGCCCATGTATAGTGCATATACATACGCACAAAGATATACACATATTGTTCCTTCCCCATCCTCACTTTTGCATACATATACTTTTATGCTATAATTGGATCCTGAAATACAAATACAACAAACAGTATAGACTACTGTGTTTGGGAATATCATCAATATTCACATTAAAAATAAAATATTTAATCTGAAATGTGAGGATCCAGCATTTAAGCCTATAAAAAGGCTAGACTGCTTATGTCACTTGGTCCCAAGTCTTAAGAGATCACGTATAGTAGGGATGCATAGGAGTGTGAGTTTGCCTGTCTAACTTCTTTCTCCATTGTTTTTTCTTATCTCTCTGATGCAACTGTCTCCCCTTTCATCCAATCAGATTAATTTCTTCTGTTTCTCCATTTCCTTTGCTGAAGCATGTCTATTCTTCTTACATTCAAGTAAAGGCATTTCTCTATCCATCCTGATGAAAACCAGTTTCTGATTCCAAGTTTCTTTTTTTCTGACCAATAATTTCAAAGGTCTTTTTTTCAGCAAAATAATCAGTTTTTGAGTTGGAAGTTACCATTAATTGATATTTCTGACTATTGTCATCATTAACAGCCTCCCAAATCTTAGCTAGAATATGACAGGGTGGGTAGCAAGGTTACACTAGAAACTTCTTGAACTTTAGGCAGCTTAAATTTGTAAGAATATTGTATCTCACTCATTTTTTCTAGAGTATCGTTATACACTGCTAGCATTGGGTGAATCATTTCATTAAACCAAAGGGGAGAAAAAAGAAAGCAAAATATATATTAACTTCCATTTAATAAATCTTGATTATTTGCAATAAAGCCTTTGAAATATTGGGCTTTTGTGGGGGAAAGGAGTACATTTCTCAAACTATTTTCTATGTAATTAACTGAAAGGACTATTCAGGTTACGATATTCATCAAAGTTATGGCATTGTTAGTAAAGAATTTCCTAAATAAAGCAAAGCTAAAAATTCAAAACAAATAACTGACCTTTATTCCCTTTATAGCCTGAGGCCCTCAGTGGCAATAACTTAGCTAAGTTCTGAGACATATTAATTCTTTGTAGATACTGATTTTAAGGTACTATTGATAAAATCAATTGGTTATTGGGGTATTATTGAAAGAATTTAAAGACATTATTGAAAGAATATCATATGAAAATTTAAGAGAACTAAATTCTTTCAAGCTTATTAATATATGGTGATAACTTCATGGACTTCAGGTTCCTCAAATATGAAATGGCTAAGTAAAATGTAATCTTTTGCCCTCTAAAAAACTCTGGATTCTATAGTTTTGCTAAATTACTCAAAATAATACCTTAAAGAATAAATACACCTAATAATTTATTACCAAGGAAGAACTCAAACATAAAGAAAATAAAATTAGAGCAGCTCCCAGTCTTCTCCTACCAACCCCAAAGAGAAAATTTACTAAGATAAAGGGCATAATAAGCATTTGAACTTACACAGTAAATCTGTCTCACCTCAAAAAGTCTTCTTTAGAGTGAGATGTATCCCACCCCCATCCCCAGGTCACTAACAAAATCAAATGACTGGAGAAATTTAGCATTATAGAAAATATTGCTGTGGAACACCTATTCCAATAGTCTAAATATTTCAGAAAGTAAGACTGTGACAAAGGTTTAAGCAAAGAATAGAACTAATGAACTGATTTTTAGGACAAGTGCCCTCTAGCTTGCCCCAGGCAGATTTTATGTGATTTCATATTTAAGCTTTTGTTTTCCTGTTATAATCAATACCTAAATGCCTATGGGTCCCTATTTACAAACACATCAAAGTTTACTCTTTCACCTACAGTTTAGTAAATTGCAGTGTTATTAAAGGCTCTCAATTCTATTTTTGTATCTTGAGTTGAAGGTTGATGGCTGGAATGCATATACTTAAATTGTGTTTACTATATCCCTTTTCTTTCTAATTCTGAATCCATTAGACTGTAATTAAATGTAATTTAAAGGCTGAAAATTCGAGTCTTATTTGTGGTAAAGAAATTGTAAATGTTCTCTAAACTTGACTTGCCACTCACAAAAGATTCATGCAAAATGCTCTGTGGGTTTTGCCAGGACACAATATGATTTACAGATGACTGTCAAAGTCTTGTGTGTAACCCAAACAACCAGGGACATGATAAAATAAATAAATAAATAAAAACTGGGAGGAGGGAAGCAAAATGGAGCAAAGGTCAATAGTATATTGGACCAACGGGACCTTTTATTTTCACTTTTATTAATTTAAGCACCAACTTTTTAAAGTTATAACTGAACTGCTAAAGAAAGGGACATATCTGTGAATTATTTAACTGAACTATTCTTTTGCTGTTCCGCAAGAGATTACTCCAAAACAGCACCAGTGTATTATAACAGGTCATGTTTTTGCTGGTTGGCTCATTATGTAAGCTAATCCCACACTGGTTAAAATACACACACCCACACAAATTAAAATACATACTCTAAAATGTTTTCTTCCTTCAATGTACTATTTTTTTTCTTTATATTGTCTAGTTTCTAGAAAATGAGAAGAAAAGAAGAGACTGGATAGTGGAGGTATTATTGAACAGTGAAATGACCAAACAGAAGGCAACCAGAAAAGAGGAATAAAACTGGGTTCAAAATGGTCAGAAGTTCAATATGAGTTAATAGTGACAAGAGTTCACATGATCACTACTGGTTGCACTAAAGGAGGTTAGAGTCCCACCTTCTCTGCCCTGTCAAAGGACATTTGGATTTTCATCCTCAGTTCTGAGTAGTATTATCCTAGGAAGTTTATTTACAAATATGTGTCCAATGAAAAGTGGCCAGGATGGTTAAAGGCCTTGAGTTCATTCAACAGGGATGAGAACATGTGGTCTGGAAACAGGATGGCCAGCTAAAATCCCACCTTTTATGAGAAGCTACTTTTCCCAATCCTCCTTAATTCACACAAACAATCTAACAGTGGAGACAGCAAATGCAAACATCTAGGTACAAAACAGATGAACTCCTCCCTTCCCTTCCCCTCCCCTCCCCTCCTCTTCTCTTCTCCTTTCCCAACCCCCCCTCCCCACCTTGTGTATACATGTTTGCTTGCATTAGACTGTGAACTCCTTGAGGGCAGGGACATTTTTTGCTTAGCATGTAGAAGATGCTTAATAAATGCTCGAATGAATAACTTATGTTGAACATGATACTTGTCACCTTTATGAGTATCATATAAGAAGAATTATACTTGTTTTTAGTCACCTTACCACACAAAAGGTAGAACAGTGAGAGAAAAACAAAACAAAATAAAACAAAAACACTTGACTAGGAAAAAGGACACCTGGTCCCTGGCTTCCAGTCCTGTTTCTGCCTTTAACTCACTGGATGACCTAAGGAAATGCATTTGATAAATTCTTTCTGTATCAGTTTTATTATCTGTAAAATGGTAATAATACATCCGCCCAATATGCTCTACAGCCTTGGTCTTCACTATAAGGGGGTTGAGAAGCAGAACACTATCACTGTATTCTTCCCCCCCGCCACCCCACATCATTCTTTGTCATCATAGCAAACAATACATTTTTTTCATATAGAAAAAGAAGCTAAATTGTGATAGATTAACCGAAAAAGATGATTTCCGATTTTGTTTTGTTTTACAGTGATTTTATTCTCACTTGGCAAAAGTTCATTTAAAATGATAATAAAGGAAGATGTTTTTAGTCCTATTCTGACAGTGGGTAAGATTGTTTATGGGCACATCTAGGCATGTCTGGGCAAGGTCTCAGTAAAAGCTGAGACTAGCAATGAAGGAATACCAATAAAACACTTTTGGTGCTGAAAATACCACCAGAACATAGCAAAGCTATAAAAACACTGCCAAGATTTGGTGAATTACGCCTTAAGGGTACCATACAATGAAGTGATATAATTTCATCTTTTGGTTATTTGGCAAAAGCATTTTTAAACTATGATTTGCTATTGTTGGGAATGAATTATGCCAGAAAGATGAGCAAGATTTTTATTTCAAGGTGACATAAACAACTTAACTCTCAATATATAAATCACAGATGTGTCCAAGTTTAAGAATTCTAATTTTAAAATTGAGTGATTCCAAGTCACA